ATGTTCGGCAAGCAGCTGGCCGTCTTCTCCCCCCGCCGGAAAAAAGGAAGTTCCTCCCGCTTCTTCTCCAAAATTTCGGCCTCGCTCTCCGACATCCCCGGCGAGGTCTTCCACTCCTCCCTCGAGACCGAAGTAGGATGCTCTCACTCCTGGACGAAAAATCCTACAGCGGTTGTTGTCCCTCCTTGTCGAAGAAGGCGCAGTGGTGATGGTGCTGGAGGAGGAGGTGGAGGAGGAGGAGGTGGCGGTGGTGGTGGTGGTGGTGGAGGTGGTGTGGAGTGGTGGAGGTGGTGGAGGGTGGAGGAGGTGGTGGTGGGGTGGTAGTGGTGGAGAGGAGGAAGTGGGTGTGGAGAAGGAGGAGGAGGAGGAGGTGTGGTGGAGTGGAGAGGAAGTGGCGGCTGGTGGTGGATGTGGTGGAGGAGGAGGTGGAAGGAGGAGGAGGGGGAGGTGCAGGAGAAGTAGGAAAAGAAGGAATTGTTGGAGAAAGAGGAGGAAAAGTAGGAGTAGAAGGAAGAAAAGGAGGAGGAAGGACAGACGTTCTCGGAGACGAAAGAAAGACGAAGGAAGGAATGGGAAGTGGGATAACGAATAAAGGAGGAGAGGAACAAGCGCACAAACCTGCTGTTCCACGCCCCAAGAGCCCATCTGGAGGAGGAGGTCTGAGGACGGAGCGATAGTGAAGGAGGAGAAGAAAGAGAGAGAGAAACAAGAACATAGATTTTCTCACGTCCAATTTGTCATAACTCCTCCAGGTATTTGATAAGATACGTATTATGTATTATTTCTTTTTATTGATAAATGAGTTTATGGAGACAAAGACAGTCATTTTTTTTTTTTTTTTTTGTCTTTCGTTATTTTATTAATAATAAAGGAGTTTATGGAGACAAAGACAATCATTTTTTTTATCTTTCGTTATTTTATTGATAAATGAATTAGTAGAAGCAAAGACACGTATGTTTTAGGGGTTTTAAATATATATCCTTTTGACGTCATAAGAAGGTACTCGCTCAACGGGAATTGTAAGTATTGCGTATAAGTGGGCAAAGACGTGTGTGTGTGTGTGTGTGTGTGTGTGTGTGTGTGTGTGTGTGTGTGTGTGTGTGTGTGTGTGTGTGTGTGTGTGTGTGTGTGTGTGTGTGTGTGTGTGTGTGTGTGTGTGTGAGTGTGTGTGTGTGTGTGTGTGTGTGTGTGTGTTGTGCGTGTGTGTGTGTGTTTTTATTTGTTGTAGTAAGTATACCTATAACCATCATCATCATCATCGTCATTGTTGTTGTTGTTTTTGTATTGCTATAATAGATAATTATCATCACTATTGATGAAATATTGTTCTGATTATTATCATGATTACCATCGTATCATTATTTGTGCCATTATCACTACTGGCATTATTTTCGTAATTATTGTCATTATTATCAACCTACCCCCAACTATCCCACCTTTCCCCTCCCCTTTCTCCATCTTTCCCCCAACCAGTCCCATCTTACCCTCCCCCCTCCCCTCCCTCCACCTCCCTTCCCCTTCCCCTCAACCTCCAACGTACCCCAACCCCTACCTATTACCCACCCCAACCATACCCCCTACCCTCTACCCATCCCCAACTAAGCTCTTATCTACAAAATATCCCCATTATTTTCCCCCCATTAATTAACATTTTCTCCATTAATTAACATTTTTTCCCGTTAATTATAATTCCCCCCTTAATTAACATTTTTTCCCATTAATTAACATTTCCCCATTAATCAACATTTCCCCCATTAATCAACATTTTCCCATTAATTAAAAATTTTCCCATTAATTAACATTTTTTCCCTCTTTGCAGTCCGGGACCGAGCGCGCGTGGGTATCCGCAGTTCCCTCCCGTTTTCGACTGCCGGAATGGCCGCCGGAGCCTGCTCTTCGGGCTTGTCCTCAGGGTGAGCATCTTGTAAAAGTTTTTGAAAAGTGATACATCTTTTAAAAGTGATTATGAAGTGTTTTTTTCTGTTTTGTTTGTTTCTTTTTATTTTTCTGCTGTTGCCATTTTGTTCGTAATATTATGTTTTCCCCGTTTTTTAATGTTTTGTTTATTTTTATTTACTTGTCGCTTTTTGAGGTATAGGCAAATATATTGACAGATAGTTAGATATGTAGAAATAAAGGATTAAATATATATATATATATATATATATATATATATATTATATAATATATATATATATATATATATATATATATATATATATATATATATAGAGAGAGAGAGAGAGAGAGAGAGAGAGAGAGAGAGAGAGAGAGAGAGTCAATAATACTTGTATATATAAATATGCATATAAAGACATATAGATATACAGATTTATGTACAGATATGCACATAAATGTATATAAAGGGATAAACAGATAGATAGGGAGATAGATAAATGCGTATATAGAGCAATAAACAGGCAATCTAATAAATGGAAAAAAGACTAGAACAGATAGATAAATTAACGGATAGACATATAGATAAATAGATAGATAGATAGATACACATGTAGATATATATGTAAAGGAAAAAGTAAACGGACAAGTAGATATATAATGTAAATCTATATGTAAATGAACAAATATGCGAACAAATAGATAGATAGATAGATATGTAAATACACAGACTGAGAGATTCCAGCTCTTCGGACACGCAGAACCAACGATTCCAACCTCATTCCAACCCATTCCATCCCTCGAACACGTAGAATCAACAGTCCAATCTATCCAACCCATTCCAACCTATTCCGAATCCATTCCAATTCGTCAGAAAGGCACAACCAACGATTCCTACCTTATTCCAACCCATTCCAGCTCTTCCGACACACACAACCAGCGATTCCAACCTCATTCCAATCTATTCCAGCTCTTCCGACACGCACAAGCGATTCCTACCTTATTCCAACCAATTCCAGCTGTACCGACACGCACAACCAGCGATTCCAATCCTTTCCAACCCACTCCAAGCTTATTCCAACCCATTCCAGCTCTACCGACACGCAGAGCCAACGATTCCAACCCATTCCAAGCTTATTCCAACCACATTCCAACCCATTCCAGCTCGTCGGACACGCAGAGCCAGTCGAGCGGCGGGGGCGGGGACCACAAGAGCGACACGCCCACCCCGGAGGGCACCAGGAAGAACGGCGAGGCGGGGGGTCGTCTTCGTCGTCTTCGTCAGCATCCTCGTCAGCGTCCTCGTCGACCTCCGGCGTGGGTGAGTGTGCGCTGCGGAAGGGCCACGAGCTGCCTGTGACTGCTGGTGAGTGTAGGGTGGTGGGAGGAGGAGGAGGTGGGTAGGGGGGTTGTTGGGGGAGGAGGGGTGGGATGGGAGGAAAGGGAGGGAAGGGGAGAAGGAGGTAGGGAGGTAGGGGGAAGGGTGGGAGGTAGGCATGGGAGGTAGGGATGGAGGGGGATGGGGGGTGGGGGACGGGAGGAGGTAGGGGGAAGGGGTGGAGGGAAGGGCCACGAGCTGCCCGTGACTACTGGTGAGTGGGGGTGAGGGGGAGGATGTAGGGGGGGGGGGAGGATGTAGGGGGTGGGGGGAGGAGGGTGGTGGTGAGGTAGGGAGGTGGGAAGGAAGGGGGGTGATTGGGGGAGTGTGTGTGGGGGGAGAAGGTAGGGGAGGGGAGGAGGGGACGGGGAGGAAGGGGTGGGTGGTGGTGGAGGAAGGTGGGAGGTGGTGGGGGGGGGGGGGAAGAGAGAGGATGGGAAGGGGGAAGAGGGTGGGAGGTGGGAAGTGGGGATGTAGGGGGAAAGGGTGAGGGGGCGGGGAGGTAGGGCGGGAAGTGAGGGAAGGGGTGAAGGAAGGGCGGAGGACGGGGAGGAAGGGCGGGAGGTGGGGGAGGTGTGAGGTGAGAAAGGTGTGGGAGGTAAAAAGGAAGGAAGAAAAGAAAGTAAAATAAGAAGGAAAAGTATGAAAATAATGACATAAATAGAAAAAAAAGAAAAAAAATGATGAACACGAGTATGTCTGTATAAAAAAAAAAAAAATCGTACACAAAGAATCCTTACAACTCCACGTCCTTCTACAGGAGCGAGGGAATCGGCAGCGCTTCGTCAGGAGGTGGAGACGCTCCGCGCAGAGATCACGAAGGCGCGACAGACCATCTTGCACATGCAGGAGCGAGAGAAGAAGCTCAAGGAGAGGTTAGTCTCTTATAGTTTTTTTTTCTCTTTTTTATGTCTATTTACTTCGTTTTTCTTCTTTTTTTCTCTTTTTTATCTATCTATTTACTTCGTTCTCTTCTTTTTTATTGTTTTTTCTATTCTTTTATCTATCTATTTACTTCGTTTTTCTTCTTTTTTATTTTTATTGTTTTTTATGATTTTTTTTCGTGATGGTGAATGTGGAGATAGTGGTGGTGGTTCTAGTAGTAGTAGAGGTAGTGAAAGCTGTAGGAGTAGTAGTGATGGTGATAGTAGTACTAGTAGTGTTAGTAAGTAGTTGTAGTACAAGCAGCAGTAGTACTAATAGTAGAACTAGTAGTAATAGTACTAGTAGTAGGTAGTAGTAGTAGTAAGAAGTAAGTAATAGTAATAGTAGTAGTAGTAACAGTAATATTAATAGTCATCGTAGTAGAAATAATAAGAAAAATAATCCCCCCCACTTTTTACCTAATCCCCCTCCCCCCGTCCCTCCCCAGACTCGGCGAGAGGGCGTCCCGCGGGCTGGAACGCAGCGGGGCGGCGGGGCGCGTGGAGAACCTCAGCCTCGGGGAACGGCGCCCATCCGCCCTCGTCCGGCGCTACGGCAACCTCTACGCCCAGGCCAGGGTGGACACTCTCGACGCCCTGGATGCCCTGCCGGACCTCAAGAACGCGGAGGAACTCAAGTCAAAGCTGCTGTTCAGCGTCGTGGTGGTGAGTGGGGGGGGGGTTGTTTGTGTTGGGGTGGGGGTAGGGAGGGAGGGTGGAAGGTGGAGGGTGGGGAGGGAAGGTGGGAAGGGTGGGTGGGAAGGAGGTGGGGTGGGAGGGAGTGTGTGTGTGTGTGTGTGTGTGTTGTGTGTGTGTGTGTGTGTGTGTGTGTGTGTGAGGTGTGTGTGAGTGTGTGAGTGTGTGTGTGATGTGTGAGTGTGTGAGTGTGTGCGTGTGTGCGTGTGTGCGTGCGTGTGTGCGTGTGTGGGTGTGCGTGTGCGTATGCGCGTGTGTGCGTGTGCGTGTGCGTGTGTGTGTGTGTGTGTGTGTGTGTGTGTGTGAGAGAGAGAGAGAGTGTGAGTGTGTGTGTGTAATTTACAACATCCATGGCTAACGATGTTTTTATTTACGTATAACCTTATGCCTCTATAACCTAAACATATCTACCATTCATAACAATTACGTATTCAATCATTTACAACATTTATGGCTAGCGATCTCTTTATCAATGTATAACTTTATCTCTATAACCTAAATATAAGCATCATTTATATGTACGTATTCAGTAATTTACATCACCCATGGCTAACGATCTTGCATAACCTTATGCCTCTACAACGTAAACATATCTACCATTTATGACAATTAAATATTCAGTAATTTACAACTCCCATGGCTACCTTTTTATTTATGTATAACCTTATGCCTCTATAACCTAAACATAACTACCATTCAAAACAATGACGTATCTAATAATAAACATAAATAAATAAACAAATAAAGTAATTGACACCACCCACGGCTAACAATCATTTTATATATGTATAACCCTATGCCTCTATGACTACCTTTTTATTCATTTATAACTTTATGCCTCTATAACCTAAACATAACCATTAATAACAATGACGTATCTAATAATAAACATAAATAGACAAATAAATAAATAAATAAATAAAGTAATTGACACCACCCACGGCTAACACCTCCCGCCCCCCTCCCAGCTGGCCTTCCGCTCCGCCTCCGCCTCTGCAGCCTCACTCCGAGAAGAAGTGAGGCGTGTGATCCAAGTCCCGCCCCCGCCGCCCACGGGAGACATCCACAGCCAAGACCACTACGCCCACGACCCCCACACCCACGCTCTGGAGGTGGGCGTGTCAGCCTTCCTCACCGCCAACATCGATAAGCATGACTTGACGAAGAATGTGGATGTGAGTTTCTCGTTGCGAAGAGGAGGAGGAAGAGGGTAGATAACGGATAAAGAGATAGATAGATGAATAAATGTAGATGTCGCTATGGATAGATAGATAGATAGATAAGTAAATGTAGATATGTATATATGGATAGATGAATAAATGTAGGTCTATATGGATAAATAGATAGATGAATAACTGTAGATGTCAATATGGATAGATAGGTAAATAAATGAATGTAGATGTCTGTATGGATAGATAGATAGATAGATAAATGAATGTAGATATGTATATGGATAGATGAATAAATAGATGAATGTAAATATCTATATAGATAGAAAAATAAATGTAGATAACTATATGGATAGATAGATAAAATAGATATCTATTTTATCTATCTATTCATATAGTTAATTATAAGGATAGATAAATGAATATAGATAACTGTATGGATAGATAGATAATCAGATCAATTTTGGTAATAGATACCAGATTGGTGTTAAATATGGATAGAAAGATAGATAGATAGATAATTAAATGTAGAGGACATTTAAAATATAAATATATAGATGAATAGGTAATTAGATAGATTAATTTTGTAGAGGGCTGATAATATATAACTATATGGATAAATAAATAAACAATATTGAGGACAGATGATAGATAAATGTATGGATAAATAGATAAATTGACCAATGATAAATAAAAGCCTTCCCTGCTCCTAATAGTATATGTAGACGTTATTAAAAAGAAATATATTACAGCAAAAAGTACATTATTTTTTCAAGTGTTCTTCAAAATATGGAACGATTAATAGAGAGAATGTAATATTCAAGTAGACTAATGACGTTCTCTTGCAGTGCTAATGGATCCCTTAAAAACTTCCTAGATCCGGATCATCACTATTTAATTCCCTCTAAGTTGAGCTAAAAGAAATATCGTAAAAATCTGTTCAGAAGTTTTCGAGTTATCCTGTTAACGAATAAAATTAACCAACACTACCAAATATCATATTCTGTTCACAAGTTTTCGAGTTAACAGGATAACGAATAAACAAATTAACTAACGAAACCAAAAACATAACCTTGGCTGAATAAATCATTGGTTTCATGCATAAAAGATATAGACTGATCCCCAACTCAAAAAAGATATAGATTGATCCCCAACTCAAACCTCCCATCCTTTCTCCCTTCTACAGGAGGTGTGCCAGCAGATCTGGGCGACGCTGTACGACTACCCGGCCCTCAAGTCGTGCGAGGGCCTCCTGCAGTACATCAAGGACTGCGTGCGCCTGGCGTGGGGCCTCAGCAACCAGACGCCGGCCTTTGTGATCGACTACGAGACCCGAGTCTTCCGGAAGGAGTACCACGTCCGGTTCCACACTGCCGACCCGGAGAGCGACGCCATCAAGACCTACCTGTGGCCGGCGCTGCTGGAGGGTCCTGGGGGGACGTGCGTGCAGAAGGGCGTCGTCATCACCTAAGGGATGGATGGATGGCGGAGGAGGAAGGGGGGGGGGGCGCCTTGTGTGTCGAGGTGTCGATGAGGGGAGGACTCGCTGGGGCGGAGGGGTGAGTGGTTCGTCTTTTGGCTCGGGGGCGAAGTTTTTCTTCTCTCTCTCTCTCTCTCTCTCTCTCTCTCTCTCTCTCTCTCACTCTCTCTCTCTCTCTCTCTCTCTCTCTCTCTCTCTCTCTCTCTCTCTCTCTCTCTCTCTCTCTGTGTGTGTCTGTCTGTGTGTGTGTCTGTCTGTCTGTGTGTCTGTGTGTCTGTCTGTCTGTCTCTCTCTTTCCTTTTTCTCAGTTTTATTCTCCCACTCTTTTTCTCGATTCTCCCTCTTTCTTTCTTTCTATTTCTCTATTCTCCCTCTCTCTCTTTCCTTTTTCTCAGTTTTTTTTCTCCCTCTCTTTCTTTCTTTTTCTATTTCTCTATTCTCCCTCCCTCTCTTTCTATTTCTCTTTTTTTCTCTCTTTGCTAATCGTCCTGAACTCAACTAGACCTCAATTCTCTTTGCTGTTGCCGACGCTTTGAACATATCGGCACAATCACAAATAAAATGAATAAAAGAACACCTAAAAGCGACAAGAATGCCACTTCAGTATATATTAATATCCTAATATCCTTTCTTAATATCCATTTTCTTCATTCCGCAGGTCGAGAACTAGGGTACCCCTCCCTGCCCTCACCCCTACCCCCCCATCTTCCTGGACTGGTGTACTGTACATACATTTCGCTGTACATAAAAAAAAAACTGTACATTTCTCTACGTACAACGGACAACAGAAGCTCCACAGAGAAAGTAGTGGGACCTTGTATACTACGAAGAATTAATGTACTCAGTTTCTCTACATATGTATATCTTTACCGAATGTGTATTATACTAACTTGTAATTAAGTTTTATTAGGGAAATGGATATTTGCTGTTTAGGCTCATTATGAAATGTTTATTGAATTTTATTGTCTGTTTGTTTATAAGGGAAGAGTTAAATTGGATGTATAAATGAAGAAATGATGATGTATTTTAATAGGATTAATTGTATTCTTTAGTTAAATGAATGTTTTTTTTGATATCGTAGGTGTGTGTATATTGGAAGAGGTATTTGCGTGTAGTGTTTATTGTAAATTTATGAAATCAAAAAAGTTATTCACCTCAGCTTGAAAGTTTTTAGCTTTTTTTTTTTTTTTTTTTTTTAATTCTAAAATTCAACTCAACCTTTGTTTCTTATACTTATTCCCATATTCTTTTTCATTGTAGTTTCGATATTTTTATTTTACTTTTTCACTTATGAGGTGCTTTATTATCTATTTTACTATGTCTGTTAAAAGGTGTTTTTTAGTATATTCCGAGTCGAATATACAAATTGAAGCGCCTTATCTATGTGAAGAATCTAAAAAAAAAAACGTCAGTTTTAAAAAAGAAAAAAAATATAATTTACCGATTATGACCTACAATTAATTTCCTTATTTATATAACTTTAGCTTAGTTCTTTATCTGTTCTCTCTTCTATGTCTCTTATTTATTCGTTCTGTTCTCTTCGGTGTCTCTTATTTATTCGTTCTTGTTATTATTTATCAGTACACTCCCATAGCTTTAATGTGCGGAAATATTCTTAATAATTTAGAATTAGTTATTTTTTTCCCTAGTAAGTTAGTACTCTGTTCCTCTTACAGATCTTATCTTGGTGATAGTTCTTGTCTGTCTTAGAAATATATTAAACAAAAAATGTGAAGATATTATGTTATTGATTATATACATGTGTGTGTGCGTGAGTACGTGTGATATATGTGTGTATATACAGATATATACATATATATATATAGGTTTGCATGGATGTCATTTTCCAACAAACCAGAGATATCACAGAATTGTTCTTCCTCCCAAAAAAGGCAGTTCTGGGTCTTTTTTTATATCCCAGGGGGGTGGGGTGACTGAAATGAACATCCTCCCCCCCTCCCCTTCCCTTCCCTACCCCCTCCCCTCTCTGGCTAGTATTACGACGTGTGCCATCTACTGTGGTAGAATTTCTTTCGTAAGTGTATATTGAAATATATAATAATAAAGGTTTAATAACAAGGAGAAACGATGTTTTTATTATTTGCATTCCTTTTAAAAAAATATTTGGAGTATTGCAATTTTTTCTTAGTATATATGCACACAAGCCTACAATTACACCATACGTACCTCGCATCTTGCAATCACACCATATGTGCCGAAAATCCTGCAATCACACCATATGCAAAAGAAGGAAGAAAAAATACATTGAAAACAAAAAACAAAAATGAAAAATACAAAAAATCAAATGAACAGAAAATACACTAAAAATACAAACAGCAAAAAATTCATACAAAACAAAATAAAAACACAACAAAACAGACATACTGTACCTTCATATATAGATACATACATACAAAACATACATACGCACGCATAAAGAACACAAGCGGCACACGCGCACACACACACACACACACACACTCAAAAAAAAAAAAAATTACCATCTCGAAACACGCACATGTATAACCTTTAAGTGACAACCGCACACGACAAGGGCACTAATGCCTTTGTACATAATTAATTTCCTTTCTCTGATAGCTCGTGCATTCACTGACATATTGCCCAAGTTGACTACCCTGTTTGAGGGCGTTTGAGGGCGCGCAGCTTATAATTCGTGTAATGTATTTATTACGAGAGAACCACGCACAGAAAGAGCAAATGCAGTTATATTACGTAGACCTTTGTAAAGAAAAAGATATTAATAATAATAAATGTGTTTATTGTGAGAGCTCCGCAATTGAATAACAAAGGCAAGACATTCTTTTTTCGTGTGGAGCTTTGTGAAAAGAGAGAGAGAGAGATATTAATGTTATTTACTGTTATCTTGAATCTTTGTATTGTTATAATAGATCTGCCTGTGTTATCATCAATATCGTTATTATCCATCCTAGATATTAGTATGATTGTTATTAATATTAGTATCGATAGTCATCTTATAAACACTGCCATATAATAGTAATCTTTATTTTCACAACCAAACTTAGTGATAGAACATTATCGTTTCTGGATGTGTCATTACTATCACTTCCATTATCAGTATCATTATTTCCATTATTCTACCATCGTCATCATCATCTTTTTCACCTTGGTACAAAAATCAATCATTTACCATTACTTCAAAATTTCAAACTATTCTCTTACTACCATCATCATCCTCCCTACCATTCTCGTCATCATTATCTATCCAATCTATCCTCACCAAAAAAAAATGGCACTCCCATTACTAGTACTATCACCCTGCCTAAATAGCCATTACTGGTACTATTCTGATACTTTAACAGCCATTACTAGTACTATTATCAAGCCTTAATAGTCTACCACTACGAACCAAAGAAAGAAATAGACTACACAAAGGGGAAATATTCGTAAAAGAATATTCTTGCTCGTATTTGTACATTTACTCAGGTTACACAAGACTTCAAGCAGGGAAGGATTTATGCATTATCGTCACGGTATACATTCGTCATTGGGAATATACAATGGAGAAAGAGAGTGTTCGAGAGAGGGAGGGAGAAGGGAGAGAGAGGGAGGGAGAGAGAGGGAGAGAGAGAGGAGGGAGAGAGAGGGAGGGAGAGAGAGAGAGAGAGGGAGGGAGAGAGAGAGAGAGGAGAGAGAGGAGAGAGAGAGAGAGAGAGAGAGAGAGAGAGAGAGAAGAGAGAGAGAGAGAGAGAGAGAGAGAGAGAGAGAGAGAGAAGAGAGAGAGAGAGAGGAGAGAGAGAGAAGAGAGAAAGAGAAGAAAGAAAAGAAGAGAGAAAAGAAAGAGAAAAAAGCAGAGAAAAAAGAAAATCAAAAGAAAGAAAGAAAAAAAAGAAAACGAAAGAATCAAGAGATCTCAAAAACATCAAAGAGAACACAACAGCCATCCAAAAGAAGAAGAGACACAGCCAGACAGCCAGACCGCCAGAGGGCAAAGGAAACCACCGCCAAACAGCCAAGAGAACGCTCAACAGATGCTAGGCGAGGTAGTAAGGCCAGTACACCAAGTTGAACAGAAGGAACACACAGGGTAGGGCGATTCGCGTGGCTCTCTCCAGGCGGTCTTCGTGGGAGAGAGGCGAAGAGCGTGGCGCTTTGGGGGACAGTTTGATGCCCATCACCCAGGTTTCTAAATGGGGTTGGAAAAGGTGGTTTGAAAAGGTGGTTTCTGGTTTCTAAATGGGGTTTGGAAAAGGTGGTTTCGAAGTGGTTAAGGAGGGGGTTTGTAAGTGGTGTTTCGCCGGTGGTTTCTAAGGAGGGGATTGTAAGTGGTGGTTTCTAAGGAGGGGGATTGTAAGTGTGGTTTCTAAGGAGGGGGATTGTAAGTGGTGTTTCTAAGGAGGGGATTGTAAGTGGTGGTTTCTAAGGAGGGGATTGTAAGTGGTGTTTCAGTGGTGGTTTCTAAGGAGGGATTGTGTGGGTTTCTGTAAGGTGGTTTCTAAGAGGGGATTGTAAGTTTAAGGAGGGGGGATCAAGTGGTGGGAGGGGGGGATTGTAAGTTTCTAAGGAGGGGTAAGTTTCTATTGTAAGTGGTTTCTAAGGAGGGGGAAAAGTGTGGTTTCTAAGGAGGGGGATTGTAAGTGGTGGTTCTAAGGAGGGGGGTAAGTGGTGGTTCTAAGGAGGGGATGTAAGTGGTGGTTTCTAAGGAGGGGGATTGTAAGTGGTGGTTTCTGTAAAGTGTGGGAGGGGGATTGTAAAAGGGTAAGTGGTGGTTTCTAAGGAGGGGATTGTAAGTTGGTGGTTTCTAGGAGGGGGATTGTAAGTGGTGGTTTCTAAGGAGGGGGTTTGTAAGGGTGGTTTCTAAGGAGGGGATTGTAAAGTGTGGTTTCTAAGTGGGGATTGTAAGTGGTGGTTTCTAAGGAGGGGATGTAAGTGGTGGTTCTAAGGAGGGGATTGTAAGTGGTGGTTTCTAAGGAGGGGGATTGTAAGTGGTGGTTTCTAAGGAGGGGGATTGTAAGTGGTGGTTTCTAAGGAGGGGGATTGTAAGTGGTGGTTTCTAAGGAGTGGATTGTTGTTTCTAAAGGGGAGGGGGATTGTAAGTGGTGGTTTCTAAGGAGGGGGATTGTAAGTGGTGGTTTCTGATGTAAAGGTGTTTCTAAGGAGGGGGATTGTAAGTGGTGGTTTTCTAAAGGTTTCTAAAGGGGGATTGTAAGTGCGTGGTTTCTAAGGAGGGGTTGGGTGGGGGATTGTAAGTGGTGGTTTTTAAGGAGGGGGATTGTAAGTGGTGGTTTCTAAGGAGGGGGATTGTAAGTGGTGGTTTCTAAGGAGGGGGATTGGTTGGTTTCTAAGGAGGGGGATTGGTAAGTGGTGGTTTCTAAGGAGGGGGATTGTAATTGGTGATTGTAAGTGGTGGTTTCTAAGGGAGGGGATTGTAAGTGGTGGTTTCTAAGGAGGGGGGATTGAAGTGTGGTTTTCTAAGGAGGGGGATTGTAAGTGGTGGGTTTCTAAGGAGGGGGATTGTAAGTGGTGGTTTCTAAAGGAGGGGGATTGAGTGGTGGTTTCTAAGGAGGGGGATTGTAGGGTGGTTCGGTTTCTAAGGAGAGGGGGAATTGTAAGTGGTGGTTTCTAAGGAGGGGGATTGTAAGTTGGTGGTTTCTAAGGAGGGGGATTGTAAGTGGTGGTTTCTAAGGAGGGGGATTGTAAGTGGTGGTTTCTTCTAAGGAGGGGGATTGTAAGTTGGTGTTTCTAAGGTGGGGGATTGTAAGTGGTGGTTTCTAAGGAGGGGGATTGTAAAGTGGTCGGTTCTAAGGAGGGGGATTGTAAGTGGTGGTTTCTAAGGTGGGGGATTGTAAGTGTGGTTTCTAAGCTGGTGGTTTCTAAGGAGGGGGATTGTAAGTGGTGTTTCTAGTAAGTGGTGGTTCTAAGGTGGGGGACTTGTAAGTGGTGGTTTCTAAGGAGGGGGTTTTGAAAAAGGTGGTTTCTAAGGAGGGGATTGTAAGTGGTGGTTTTAAGGAGGGGGATTGTAAGTGGTTTCTAAGGGAGGGTTTGAAAAGGTGTTTCTAAGGAGGGGGTTCTGGTGGTTTCTAAGGGGGGGATTGTAAGTGGTGGTTTTCTAAGGTGGGGATTGTAATGGGTGGTTTCTAAGGTGGGGATTGTAAGTGGTGGGTTTCTAAGGAGGGGAATTGTAAGTGAGTGTTTCTAAGGAGGGGGATTGTAAGTGGTGGTT